CATTAATGAGGTCACCCCTCAGTCTCCTCTTTTCCAAGCTAAAGAGACCCAGCTCCCTCAGCCTTTCCTCATAAGGGAGATGCTCCACTCCCTTCATCATCTTGGTGGCTCTGTGCTGGACTCTCTCAAGCTGTTCCCTGTCCTTCTTGAACTGTGGGGCCCAGAACTGGACACAATATTCCAGATGCGGCCTCACCAGGGCAGAGTAGAGGGGGAGGAGAACCTCTCTCGACCTACTAACCACACCCCTTCTAATGCACCCCAGGATGCCGTTGGCCTTCCTGGCCACGAGGGCACAGTGCTGGCTCATGGTCATCCTTTGCAGTTGGTAAGCTTGTTGGCAGCATCTTAAAATGTTCACAGAGCTAGAAGTCACCCACTTTTACCATATCTCATCCATCTCTCCAAAATCAGGGCTCCAAACCCTGTGCTGCCAATCCCACTGGCCTTATACTCCACATTACTGCTCATTCCAAACCACATTGTTCCTTGCAGGGCCATCAGCCTCCTCAGGCCTGCTCCCCTCCCATGTGGCAGTGTCAATGACAAACATCCAGCATTTGGCATCCAGACACGACCATCTGAGGAATCCTCAGTGCCTTTGGCAAGCTGCCTGCTGATCCCCAGGCACTTGCTGTAGCCAAGCTGTGCAGGTTCCTCAACAAGCACAGCTGCTTCCCATATGTTCTGGATCTCAATGGGAAAGCCAGATCCGCTTCCATAGCTTGAGCTAATAGGCAGGATACTTGAGTGACTGCCAATAAAACAGCCTTACAAAAAAGAAAACAGCACACAAACTTCCCTGGGATGCAAGAGGCTTGGTCTCCAATCTCTACTTTGATACCTGTATAGAGACTTCATGTTAACCAGTAGTAGGAATGTATACACCTTGCAAAAGGACTGCCAGAGGCTCTGTGCCCTGAGCACAAAGTCTGGCAGGAGATGCTGGTTTGATCTCCACCTCCAGATGCCAGAGCTGGGCAGTGAGATCAGTCACCCACAGCATGAGCCCCCTGTATGAAAGCAGGAAAAGGGACAGGCATCCTGCAGTGTCTGAAGGTCCCTGCCTTTGCTGCGATCAGGAGAGGTAGTTGCAGATATAGGATTTAGCAACTTAGCCGAGAGAGGAAGGTAAATGTGTAGCTTTACAAGATGAGTTCAGGTGTGAATCTACACAAGTCTTTTGGGAAACAAATGCTGCTAAACATCCGCAGCCACAGAACACAGACAGCTAGAAAAACCTTAATGTCTGAAGTCCAAGGTCTGTGAACATAAATCACAAGCACCTCTGGATGGATGGTGCCATTAGTATATCCCAGCTAAGCAGAACTAGGGGAGCCTAGAAGATGCCACTTATGGGCGTAAAGTCCTTAATCTACTACTCTTGACAAATTTTTGGTGGACATTCATGTTGTTGCTTTATTGGTTTTTTTTTTTATACTTCAGTTACACTGGCAAGGCATACGAGTTACTGATTTTTCATTCTGGCTCACTGAATACTGTTACCTATCTTGAATTTAATGGAGGATTTTTCCTTCACTTCTCATTACTTCTGAAGTATGCGTATTTTATAGAAACTTGCAATCAACTCACAATTTAATACTGTAATTAGTTTCTTTAATTCACATCAAAAGCTGAATGTCAGTCAACAAAAAATGAATTGTCAGCAGCAATTTTAACTCTGAAGATGAAGCAACCATCAGAAAATAATGTACACTAAGCAAGCTGAAAAGACCACCACATACACACGTTAGAACAAATTTGTAGTTGTATTTTATTTAATCAATGAAAATCTACCTTAAAAACACAAAATCAAATTTGGTAACCCAGTACATTGGATTAGAGAAAGCTTCAAGCTTTTAAGCACAAGCCAGAAGTCACAGTCTCAAATGAGAGTTTCAGAGGCCAAAGCAATACGCTGGAACAAAACAGTATCTTTGTGTGGAGGCATGCTCCTTGCACCATTAGCGTGGTTCTGGGTGCAGTATTTTTTTAGCTGTCAGTTATAAGAAGAAGCTTTTGTATTTGTTTTATCATTAAGTTTGTTGCATTGCTTACCTAGGCCCTGGATTAATAGAGAAAATGGGCAAGTCTAAGCACTCGCCTGTCCAATTACTACCAACAGACAATTTACATTGTGGTAAAGCTAGCTTTTATTTAAATGAGGCTCAGACAAGAATTAACTTTACATATTATTAACAGCTTTGGAGCTACAAATATTAAGATTCAGGATTACACAGGTCATGCTATTGTTATTTCATTTTACCTGCTGCAGTTATTGCAATATGGCTTAACGTACATAGGTATACAATTTGTACAAATTCAGCCAAATTTGCACTTGTGAGGTGTTATTAAGAGCATCATTAACTTGCAAGCCAACTTAAACCTGTGGAAACCAACTGAGGTGGTTGGAATTGCCCAAAGCTAAGGGGGGAAAGCTGCCGCTAACAATGGACAGAGACAGACTGGATTGTTTGAAACCACATTGTTTGGCTTTAAATATTTATATAATTTGCTCTGAGGTAAGGAAAAAAAAAATCTTTAGATGCTTCCACGCAGGGCAGCACCACATGGTGCAATCACACCAGTGCAATCAGTCACATTGCTTGCTGTACGTGCAGCCTCAAGGAGAGGCAAGCACCTGCCGTAACAAGAGCATTTGTACACTAAAAGTTGATTTTAAAATAAATTACTATACAGGTAGGCTAGCGAGCTATTGTTCCACTTGATGGGCATCAGTTTCACAAAGTGCAACCTGTAACCTTCACTTTAGAAATCAGAGCTGGAAGTATGGACTTGTACCCAGTGTTTGATTTTAATGTAAACAACAAGAGAGAGGACCAACTCCTGTTGGGGACGGACATCCCAGGACTCTCAGTCTTGGGGCTTCTTTCCATCATTAAATCACCCTGCTCATTCTGTCTACAGCTGTTGTCAGTCCAATCCACCTCACATGAAAGTTTCGAAGATCTCAGCACCCCAAAGTTCTCATCAGCTTTTGCAATCTGAGGCAGAATTCACTGCCAAACCCTTACCCTCCTTCCTACTCTTCCCTCAGTGAAGACAGGGATTGATAGGAGCGGAGAGGATTTCAGGAAATGCTGTGGTGGGAAAGGTTCAGGCATGAGTTGGGAAAGGAGGAAGCTGGTATACAGGAAGGATGTTAGATGGTGTAGGTGTGGGTAAAGGCTTGGGTTTGGATGGGGCAACCACAGAAATGAGCAGACACTGAAATGAGAGGGGTGTGATTTGAAGGTTGTGGTACTGCTGGCCTTGCTACATGAGCCAGACAGCAGGGAAATGGGAAGTCCGGAGGGTTCTAAGGAACCAGGGAGGTCTGCAAGTAGAAATGGTTGGTGGATCTGACACATGCCAGGGCTCTCCTTCTGTCTTTAGAAATATCATAGTTCTACATTAAAATCAGAACTGGGTTTTGGACATACATATAAATATTCAAAGCAAGACAGCCAAGTGTTTGAGAGATTTTACAGGGGAAAAACCTGGAACAATAAATAGGAAACTACACGTAATCAATTTCCGCTCCAATGGTATCGATTTCCTCTCCAGGCTAGTCTACAAAATTCATTTAAGGGTACGCCTAAATAGTACAGAAGTATCATAGTTCTACATTAAAATCAGAACTGGGTTTAAGACATACATATAAATATTCAACACATTACAGTCCAGTCCTGAGACGTGAAGTCTGGCATAACAGAAGGGTTTTCTCAATCTCCTTTCAAGCTACACTGTAGAAGTAATTTCTGACTAAATCAGGCCTGCACAAACACAACTGAAGGATGGACAGAGATACCTGAATAGGACTGAAAGGCAGCAACCTCGAGCATCTTGCTCAAGAATTTGTGCGTGATCCAGTTCCTGCTGTTTGATAAAGACACACCTGCTACTCGGCCAGAAGTCTCTTGTGTTCTCATCAGTCATCCCTCCTCTTCCCCTTCACACACAAGTGGAGCAGCATCTACGGCCACTCACAGGTCAAATCAAGGCAGCTACGTTAAGATGTGCCGGGTAAGGGAGTCTGCAGAAAGAAGGCAGGAGGATTCAGGGATGAGTGAAGGGATCCAAGGAGATGGGACAAACAGGACACACGTTAAGTGACGGGACAGCGATAACTGTGGCACAAATTTTAGTGGTCTGTCCATTCACTCAGCTGTGCATCTCCAGTCTAAACGGTCTATTTGGGGCAGAGGCAAAGGACCTTTGAATGGAATGCACGTGTGGATACAGCCAACATTAAAGGCATCGGTTTTTTAACAGAAATGACAAAAAAGGTGAGGTCTTCAAAATGAGCAGATGTTAGCATCCAAGAATAAAGGGTAGTGAATAAAGCTCCTGGTTCTGTCGCAGGATTGTCAGTTGTTCTGTAGGACTGGCATGTCTCCGAATGCCACATGGATGCTTAGCACATCTGAAAGTAAGATGACAGTAAAAAAAGCATTATTAATGACAACTTACTCTCTCAAGACCATCTTCTTTTCCTGAGCAGTTCTCAAAGACAGATATAAAGGTCTCATGACTTAGTTAAGCAAGTGCAGTAAATATGCTAGGGAGAGACTGTACTTATTATTTCTGACACACGAGGCACTCCAGGTTTACCATGGAAGGCAACGCTCACACCCTTGTTGGAGAGGAAGCATGTTTGCGTGTTACATCCCATACATTAAACATGTGCCACGTGAGAGCATATCCAGAAAAACTGGAAACCACATTTTCTACCTCCCAGAAACATCACCCTAAACTACAGGCTCAGTCAAAGGCCATGAAAATGAGGGTACCTGTACAGAACAAAAAGCTCTTGAGTAGCCAGAGAGGCAGTAAAGTGAGGAGAAAAAAAAAACACAAAAAACCCCAACCAACCAATCTGTGCCTTTCACCAGAACAAAAATAAATAAATAAATAAAATTAGGCACACAACAGTTTTACAGACACCCAAAAATATTTTGAAAAAAGAAAAAAAATTGCTGGTTAAAAATGCTACTTACATTCAAGGCCTCAGGAGCCACCGAGTTCTGACTCTGCGGACTATCACAAGATGTTTCTTCTTGGTAACTGCCATCTTCCCATGTCTCTGTTTTCCCATCTTCCACTGGTGGCTGATGTTGTTCTTCCTCACTTTCTCTACATGTTTGCTGACCTGTATGTTGGTCTGGGATTTCCATAATCTGCCCAACCTCTTTTTCCTTTAATTTTGGTGCATGTATGTCCAAGGGGTCTTTGGTTGACTCTTCCGAAGTAGTCAGTTCTAGCGTTGATTTCTGAAGTCTCACACCTTCCCTTGGAACATCTTCAGGGCTAGTGACAATTGTTAAAGAATTCGGACTTTGTCCATCTTTCAGCATCTCAGAAATTATCAGCATGTCTTTTGTTGTTTCTACAGTTGCATGAATTTCTGCAGACTCTGTTAAGGTCGCCGTTTTCACTGTTCCTGGTTCCTGGAGCTTTTGTTCTTTACTCCGTATCTCTTCCTCTTTTACTGGAGGCTGATGATCCACCTGTGTACCTTCCAGAAATTCAGGTGTATTTGTATCTGATGAGCTTTTCCCTGTGGACTTAATGTGCTGGTCTGACTCAAAGGCAGCTGACACTTCTGTTTCTTCAAGTTTGTGGACAGCTGTCTGGATGGCATTCAATACGATTTTCGTACTCTGGGTCTCTATAGTCACAGTCGGAACAACATCCTGCTCAAATTCCGTGTGGCTGACAGACAGGCTGTCACTTAGAGGAATACCATTGTGTTTGGGTTGTCCTGTACTCTGGGGCCTCTCTTGCTCCTCCGATATTCCATTCATGGAAGCAGGAGTTACCCGAGGCTCAGGTGCTCCTGTACTGCCAAGCTCTGCAGTCCCACAGCTTGAATATTCAACAGTAGTAACTGGGACCTCTTCAGAAGCCATTTGGTCTGGTGGGGTTGCCAAGGGCTGCACAGTTTCAGCTGTCGTATCTGCAGGTGTTATGGCTTCGGCCACGACGTGCTCTTCAACTGCTGCAGTTGCTACAGGCACAGGCGCTTTCAAGGGCTCCAAGCTTTCAGCTTGTAGGAAGGCTGAGTCAGAGCCTTCCTCTTGCACAGTTAAAACCTCTTGCTGGACAGCAGTTGAACATTCATCACCACTCACAGCTTCTTGTTTTCCAGATTCAAATACTTCTTTAGCTCCTTCCATCAATTGCTCATTTTTGTTATCTTCTTTCTGGAAGTCTTGACAGGTGGAGGTTTCTATGAGTTGTTCTTCTTCCTCCACAGTTTCTTCTTCAACTAAGCTGCTTAGTGTTTCACATTTCTTAGGACTTATGTCAGTAAGAAAAGTGCTTCCATTTTCAGTGATATCTGGGCATGCTGGTGCTAAATTAGATACACTGTCTGCTTCAGCCTGAGCGGGAGCCTCAGTGATAGTGGTGTCGCTCTCTAAGTGTGTTTCAGTTTCCAGCATAGCTTCTTCCATTTTGCCACCTTCAGTTTCATCACTCTGGGAAGGGGTCTCAGTTGTTTCTTCTCTGCATTGTGGCTCTAGGATGGGCACAGAATCTTTTGCTGTAACCTGCCTGCCAGCCTCATCCCTCACACTCTGCTCAGCATCTGCAGCTGCTTCTGAGCCAATTGTTTCTGAAGGAGGGGCAGAAGTTTTTACCTCATTCTGTGAAGGAACCTCAGTAACAGTGACTTCTGTGCTTTTTACTCCAAGGATCACAGCATCATCTCCATCTTCCTCCCTCTGAGCAGATACCCTGCTAGGAACTCCTTCAGTATAAGCTTGTTCTTGTGAGTCTAAGTCAGGAATTTCATCTTGTCTTTCAGGTTTAATGGGGACCACAGTGACAGCTGCTTCTGTGCACTCTTGTCCCACCGTGAGGGTTTTGTCCTCTCCTTCAAGCTGCACAGGCTCTTCAGCTGGAAGCCCCAAGGTAGAGGTTTCATCCTCTGTCTTGTCCTGCACCTGCGAAGAATTGCAACAGATCTGTGAAAAAGGAATGACCCAGAATGTTCTGGGTAAAAAAGCACCAGAAGAAACAACCAGGAGGAGGGTTATGGCAAGAGCGCGAAGTGATGACACTGAGATTAGTGGGTCACTAAGATCCCAGCCTGTGTTCAGTTTCTCAGGACACACAGCTCATTCAACTAAGGGCAGCCTAAAGCAAGGGACAACCAGCAGTGCTTGAAACAAAGATCAAGCCAAGAAGATGGTGGGGAGGTAGGGAAGAAGGTAGAAAACATCAGCCACAGTAACTCCTGCACATTTAAAGCTGAAGATAGTGGTGGCATTTCTCTTCCCGCCTTTGCAGAAGTACCTCAGCTACAGTCGTACCTCTGCCTATGACTGAAGGTACCATCTGCTATGTATGGTACCAGGTGGATCATGTATATATTGCATGCTGCTGATTTTTTTTCTTTGACAGATGAACAATACTTACTGCAGTCTGCACTTCTGGAGTATGTTCATCTCCTCTCTCATCTACTGTCGAATCCGTTATGGGCAGTTTCTCCTGTTCTGAAGGCTCCTGCTTTGTAAACGGCTCTTCCTCGGGAGTAGCTGCTTTGATAATATTAAAGTCTCTATCTTGTGATGAAGGTTCCTCTACTGTCCTCTGAACTTCAGATATTTCTTCATGGTCTTCTACTACTGGTTCTTCACATGTCTGCCATTGGCTTTCATCTCTCAATACATCTACATTTTCATATCCTTCTGTGCTTTCTTTTGTTGCAGCAGGTATCTCACTTCTCTCTGAACCTTCCTGTAGAACACTCTCTTCAGCTCTGGTTTGGCCCTGAATGCTCCCTGCACTTTCCAGGGCCTGGAGGTCATCCTCCTTGTGCTCTTCTTTTTTCAAGGACTGTTCAAGCAAAACAGTTTCCTGAACTGTAACTTTCCCATCTTTAGCATCACCTTCCACTTTTGACTCAATTCCTTGCACTGTTGTAATTACAGTTGGTGTCACAGTTCTTTCACTAACCAGCTGGGCTACATCTGCTGACTTGACTCTTTCAGCAACTTCGTGAAGAACTTTTTCTGTCTGTTTGTCTAATTCTTTTAAATTCTGTTCAGTGGCCTCTACTTCTTGTACGGGTGTCACTTCCTCTGTAGTATCTGGGGTTTCTAACAACTGTGAAACAGCAGAAACCATTTCAGTTGTCTCCTCAGCAATGGACACTTCCATTGTTTCTTCAGCGCAGGAAGCTTCTGCTGTCTCCTCCAGAGCAGTCACTACTTCTGAGGTTAGCTCTAGCTCACTTGCTGTGGTGTCATCACTTATATCCTTTCTTGTCTCTGGTGCTGTCTCAGCAGCTACCACTGCTTCTTCCACAGCAACATCTGATTCACATGTTTTCTCGGTTTCTTTCTCTTCCTCTTCTTTTGCCCGCTCAACGCACTCTGTCAGAGCAGCCGATATCCAAGATGGTGACCTTTCTTCAATACTGGTAACTGCCCTTTCCCCTTCCACAACGGTAACAGTAACTGCATGTACCAGCCCTTCATGTTCCTCTAATTTTTCTGCTCTCTCTTCCTCTGAGGTTGGTTCTTTCATTGCTTCGGTATCTTTCACTTGCTGGGCTTCAATTTTCTCCTGCTCTGCTGCTTCATACTCGGATAAAGGAACAACAGCTGGAATATCTGAATCTTCTTCAGTTGTTTCTGCCATGTCTTCTCTTGTCTGTGTAAGATGAGTTGGTTCCGGTTTCCCATCTGACTTTTTCTTCCTACGCCCAGGCATCAGTTTTCTAAATGGAACCCATGATTCATCTTTTCCAGGCTCACCATCTGATGTTGAATGCTCCAGGCTAGATCCCACAACAGAGTCTTCAGTTCTCTCTTCCATTCTGGTTTTGGATTTCCTTCTTGGAGTGACTAACCTTTTAAATGATTCCCATGTTGAAATACCTTCACCTTCGGATGGGCTTCCAGCTTGTTCTGGGGAAGAATTCCCTTGTCCTTGATCACTCTCCTGAGAACTAGTAAGAACTGCATCTGTTGCCGTTTCTTTGCTCTGTCCAGATTCTTCCACTTTTTGGCTTTCTTGACCAAGCTTATGTTCAGTTTCTTCATCAGATGATGATGATTTCCTGGCTCTTTTCTTTGAAGAGCCTACACATATAAAAGCTTCCCAGGACACAGAGGTGTCGACCTTTCTTTTGGGCTCTTCTGTGGCTTTCTCTGGTTTCTGGTCCATCCCATTTTCTTTTAATTCTCCCTGATTTTCATCAACAGCATTTTCAGTTGCAGACACTGCAGCACTCTTTGTCTTATCAGTTTCTTCTTCTTTATCACTTTCAGAAGGTCTTCTGACACGCTTCTTGGGAGTCACCATCTTTTTAAACGATGCCCAGGGCGTAACACTTTCTCTTTTTCGCTCCACATCTGAAACTGCAGCATCTTCATTTTCAGTGACCTGTGTTCCATCTACAGGTTTTTCCAAAGAAGGAATTTCATTCATCTCCTCAGGAGAAGAAGCAGAACTCTCACCCTTTTGTTCCTCCGGGCTATCTGGGGAATCTGATAAGTGCTGATTTAGTTCACCCTGTTCCCCTGACTTAGATTCTTCTTTTTTGCCTTTATGCTTCTTTCCAGACAGTTTTTTTAATCCGGTACCTGTAAAGAGTTTCTTTAAAGGGCTGCCTTGCAGTTTAGTTTTTTCTTGAGATGACAGCAATTCAGCTTCATTTGTGATGCCTTCTGGAGGCCTCTTTCCAGCTGCCTCTTCAGGAGTTATTTCTGTGGTTATTTCATCTGGTTTGAGAGTATCAGTCATAACCACATCAGTTTTTCCCTGTAGACTTTCCTCAGTGGGTCTGAGTGACTGTTGATCATTCTCTGTAGTGTCAACTGAACGTTCAGAAGTAGAAAAGGACTTAAATCCAGGAGCACTCGGACTCAGTTTTGTCTCATGCTCTTTGCTTTCCTTCTTCTCTGTGGTTCCATCTTGAGCTTTTCCTTGAGTGTCTAACTTTCCAGTGATGTCTTCTGATGTGGGTGAAATTTTCAATTCTTTTTCCTCTGTTTTTTCATCAAAAGTTTCTTTATCCTAGCGGAGCAGGTTTATTTCCTTCTCTTCCTTCAGTTTTTTTAAGCTGTTCACTAGAAGTTTCAATTGCCAAAGATACTGCTTCAGGTTTCCCTTCAGAGGCTATTTCAGTTCTGTCCTCTCCAGTTGACTCCGGTTCTTCTCCCATAGGTAGGACTTCTGAGGATGTTTTCAGTTCTCCATTCACACTGTCAGTAGTAACAGGTACCACGTACCTTGTCTTTAGTGGTTCCTCTGTCACCTCACTTTCTTTCTCTCCTTCTTCAGTTTTTTCTTCCTTTATACCAAGATCTGGAACTTCCACCAGTTTCCTTTCTTGATCATCTTCTTCAGCTTTTTTCTCCTTTGCACTTTCTTTAACAACTGCTGCTGCTACTACATCCTCTTTTTGTCCCTGCTCATCATGCTTGATTAGCTCTTCCTTCTCACATGCTTCGACTCCCATGGCTGCCACAGTCTTTTTTGACTCTTGCTTTTCACCTTCAGTTTGCTCCTCCTCATGCGCTTCAATAGTTACCACTGTCACATTCTTCTCTTCATCTTGCTTCTCAAACCCAGATTTCTCCTCCTTTTCACTCGTTTCAGTTGTTAACGTTGCCCCCTCCTTTTCTTGCTCCTCTTCTTTTGTAGGAGACTCCAGTTCATCTTCTTGAGGCTTCCTAAAACTCTTCTTTTTTCTTAATCCAGTCCATCCCTGAGTAAAAAATTTTCTTAACGGTGATCCGGTATCAGTGGCTGAGGCAGCTGATTGAGAACAAGTCTCATTTGCTTCTGGTGGTTTCGGAGACTCATCTTCTGGTTTTTCATTTTTCAGTGTGTCTTTGGTGTTGTCTTCTGCAGGGAGCGCATCCTCAGGCATCGCTACTTCTTCTGATGCGACTTCTTTTTGATCATCAGTTCCTTCAGGGACTTGTGTTTCTGTTTTTACAGTAAGCAGTTGAACTGGTTCAGATTTCCCCGTCTTTTCCTTCTTTACTGTGAATCTGAATCCAACAAATTTAAAAACCTTTTTAAAACCCAGATCATAGGACTGTGGCTCAGATGTGTGGTCAAGGTCTTCTGTGTCTTCTTCTGACGACAACTGTTTAACAGTTTGAGCATCCTCTTCCTCAGCATCTACATTGTCCTTGGTGTTTGAGTCAGATGGACTTGTCTCCATAGTTTCAGTGTCTTCCTTCACAGTCACACTGGAATGTTCTGTCTGTCCCCCTGTTTTAAAAAAAAAAAAAAAGTTTGTTCTCTTCTCAATTTAATGTTATATTATACCTTTATATAAATATACATTTTTTTCATTTTTATCAAACTTTCCTAAACTATGTGCTATTATTATTTTTGTTAAAAAAATAGTTTTTGTTCTAAGATTACCTTAATTCCTTTCCTTCCTCATATAATTGTATGGGTCTTTCCAAAGTTTATTTGTAAATGCCCCTTTCAAGCTTATACTATCTCATTCTCTTTCCTTCTTTTGCAGGTTTTTTGTTGGGTTTTGTTTGTTGTTTTTTTTTTTACTTTAAGGCAAACTTAGATGAGAAAAAAAATTTAGTTCTATTTTATCATTACTCAAAGAATATACAGAACAATGTACGTAATTTTTCCTGAAGCAAAGCTCAGTATCCTTTACATAGAGAGAGACCTCTGAGGGAAAAAAATAAATTTAAAAAGTGTGTTGACCTAAAATGATGACAAGAAAAGAAAAGCTCATTTTACAGCTCTGTCACAGAAGAACAGTAAGGTGTGAAAACTCCCATAGGAAATTTCCTATTTTTCTGAAAACCTGAAAAAACCCCAAACATTACAACGTATTTGTTTCAAAGATCATGAAGCTTGGAATTCTCCCATACATCACACCACCACTCTGGTCAGACAGAAACCTCATCTACAGCAATTCCACATCACTTAAAATTAATGAGGTTGTTACTATACAGGCAGGTAACATCCTACCCTCCCCTGCTCACACGCCTGTGTTTGCATTATCTCTTCCTTGAGCACTGCTGGTGTTTTACCTTCAGGACACTGGCAACCACCTTCTCAGTCTTGCTGGGACAATTTAAGTGTTATCACTCCCTCTGGCCATGAGCTGCCTAAGTTCACAGGCTGGCATATGCATTAAACCCCCTGAAACGCAGCAGTTAGTTAAGAAGCCAGCACACAGCCAGGTTACAGCACAAAACCACAAGCTCCTCACGCCCCAAACAAGTAACTTTGGAGGAAAAAGGTGGAAAGGAACAAAGATACTAAACCTTTAAATTCTGCCACTTAAACCCAAAAAATGAGCAGGTAAAACTGCTGTTGCCCATAACGAGAATTTTAATAATAGTACTAATTGTGTGATGAACACACCTGATGATGAACAGGACAGCACGTGAAGATAAAATCTATGGCACGTTCAAGACACCAAAAGATTCTTGGGCTTGGATACTTGGGCCAGGATTTCAGTTTAACATTGTTCTTGACCCCTGAATTTGTGCAATAGGTTTAAGTGCAAGGGCATGAGTGAGCGTGCTCTCCTCTCTGACCAAAGTTGTTGGAATGCAAAGACAACAACAACAACAACAACAACAACAACAACAACAAATCAATGTTAAACATTAAAAAGGCATGGCCTCTTTCTTTCAAGTTGCACATGTGCTACTTTGATGCCCAAAGGTGTGCAGGACACAGCTTTCAAAAGTACATGCATCAATTAATTCCCCAAAGTGATTTATTTTTTATCTGATGCATCTTTTCAGTCGGATCTAACTCTGCAGTTAGCCCTGCTTTGTTCAGGGGCTGGACCACCTGATCTCCAGAGGTCCCTTCCAGCTTAGATGCTTCCCTGTGTCCTTTTTCAAAAGAACAGCACCTTCATGAGCACATAAGACAATGCCCTCTAGGTAAGGCTGAAACACAACTAAATAATAAGCAAAAGTAAATCTACAAGTATACTGGCTTCTAATAGCTATGCTGAAGGCAAATTTTGTTTACATTCACTATCAGAAGCCTACTGGTTATTGTTTCCCAGTTGACATAAGCAAAGCTTTTTATATTTCCCTTTATCTAAGAGTGTGAAATTATTTCCTTTAATTGTTAACTCCTAATTCACTTACAAGTCTGACCTCTGATAACACCCTAACTCCCGCCCTGAACATTTTAAAGCAGAGGTGTTCAAACCAAGTAATTTGTGAAGAAGCGGGGTAAGAAGAAATGGACATTTTTCTGAAGAAGCTAGGATTATAACTCCATTGATGATATGCCTCTTACAAACACCAAAACACTCCACAAGCAAAAATAAATCACTGCAAGAACACTTCAGTAATTGAAGGGAAATAAGGCTGTAAGCACAGCTAGAAGCAGTAGCAGTAACACTTTTGAACTCTCTTTTCATCTTAAGATGGTTACCAAAGAAAAACTGATGTGCCTATTTTATTAATATTTTTGGACTCTTATAAATCACAGAATCACAGAATGGTAGGGGTTGGAAGGGACCTCTGGAGATCATCTAGTCCAACCCCCCTGCCAAAGCAGGATCACCTAGAGCAGGTTGCACAGGAAGGCGTGCAAGCGGGTTTTGAACACCTCCAGAGATGGAGACTCCACCACCTCTCTGGGCAGCCTGTTCCGGTGCTTTGGCACCGTCACAGTAAAGAAGTTTTTCCTTAAGTTTGTCTGGAACTTCCCATGTTCCAGTTTGTGCCCATTGCCCCTTGTCCTGTCACAGGGTACTATTGAAAAGAGCCCAGCCCCATTCATTTGGCCCCAGTGCTTCAGGTATTTATAGACATCGATGAGATCCCCTCTCAGTCTTCTCTTCTCCAGGCTGCAGAGTCCCAGCTCTCTCAGCCTTTTCTCATACAGCAGATGCTCCAGGCCCCTCATCATCTTTGTGGCCCCCGTTGGACTCCCTTTCTGTCCCTCCCGAGTCCTGCATTAATGCCAGTGTGCTTACCCTCCGACATACAGAAATCTCTATCTCCATCTGACACGACTCAAGACAAAGGTAGAGCAAAAAATGGGGCTGAGAGCCAGGGGGGGATGGGGAATGCTGGGTCTCAGTGGGAAAGACAGAAGCAGGGAGGCAGTGGGAGCGGAGGACAGTTCAAAAGACACTCGGGCTCACTGCAGGCAACTGGTGGGCAGCTACAGATGCAGCTTTCTGAGGGGTCCCCTCTCCTCCTGCAAACGGGGAATGGGAATGCATGCTTACCACTTTGAAAATCCTGAGATTTAAAAAAAAAATATAAAGAGTCGAAGTTGAGGCCACATTTCTTTTTTAAATTATTACTAAAACACAAATATAGTGTTTAAGAGGAGTTTCAGGGGTTTACAAGTAAACAGGATTACTTTTAAGAGAGGAATGATACAGAATATGAACGAGCGAGGTATTCTGTTTCCAAAATGAGAGACAAGATGCAAGACTAGGGTATAACAAGCCAGAGGAGGGCCACAAAATTGGCAAAGGGTTTAGAGGGGAAGCTGTATGAGGAGAGGCTGAAGTTGCTTGGTTTGTTCAGCCTGGAGAAGAGGAGACTGAGAGGAGACCTCATCGCAGTCTGTAACTTCCTCACAAGGGGAAGTGGACATTAGGAAAAGGTTCTTCAGGCAGCAGGTGGTGGAGCACTGGAACAGGCTCCCCAGGGAGGTAGTCATGGCACCAAACCTGACAACATTCAAGAAGCATTTGGACAAGGCCCTCAGACACGTGGTCTGAATCTTGGGAACTGTCCTATGCTAGGACAAGAGTTGGACTTGATGATCTTTGTGAGTCCCTTCCAACTCAGAGCATTCTGTGATTCTAAGGCATCTCTTCATAGTCACGATAAGCATTCAAAGGATTTTTGCTTATTCTAGTTATAGATTGATGTGTTCAGAACACTCTAAGACAAAGGCTCGGTATCTGTAAAATGCTTTGCAGGTGAAAAAAGCGGAATAACTATAGAATATAGAATAACTATAGAATAACTATAAAATCTGCGGATGTGGGTATGTAGTAAGGTAGAAAATGCAATCATAAAAATAGAGAACACAGAGCTTAGAGACACAGTGATGAGCTTTCAGAACTGTTAAATCAGGCTGACAGTAATTAGGTCTTCCTTGTGAGTCCAGCAAACATGCTACCTTGCAATACTTAATTCCAAAAGGAAAACCTAACAAAAACACTGACTGAACACGTACTTTTAATACCAGCCTGAAAAGCTGCAGTCATGCTACACAGGTCACACTTCCATCACCCGCTCACAGCGCGCGGCGGGTGTACTTGGAGACTCGGTGCAGGCACTACCCCTTTAACTCCACCAAAAAAACCCCAGTTAACCTGTCCAGAAGGTATTTAATCCCCAAGGTACCACAGAGTTCAGATGTCAGCTGCTCAGTGACCTGCTGCTACTGCTCCCATTCTCTACTTTGTCTGCTTCTTTCCCATTTAAATAACTGGAAGAGTCTTTTAAACTGAATTTCTGATGCCCTTCCTCAACATTTGAGGAGAGAGATGCCATTCAGGAAATCTGCCTGCATGCTGCCAGCTGCCTAGAGGCTGCCACTGCCATGAGACAAGCCTACGGCGCAACTATATCCAAGCTGTACCTTCACAAGATAGGCCCCCAGGAGCATTTTATATCCAGTGGGGCACAAAACAAACAGAAGACCTGACAAGTCAACTGTATACACTGGACTTTTTATTTAGTAGCCGGATTCTTTAATGACATTTTTATTAACGACATTCTCGGTGCCCAGACATTGTTAGTGCACTTCTGAATGCAAAGCAAACCGTGAGTAACTTCACTCTGAAAGCTTTGGAAGTTATGGACACAAGGAATTGTTGTTCAGAATACTGTAGCATGTCACTACCACAGGTATCTTGGCCAGATAACTAGCACTTTCTGAATTAATTCATAGAATTTGAAAGCATCTTTAAGAAACACAGGAGAGCCTCATCAAAACATCTACCAGAAAACAAAATAAATCTAGTAAAACACTGCTATGAATGCAATTTCTTTAGGTCTGTCCTGAGCAGGGCTGCACTTCTCCAGCTATGTGCTAGTCAAGGAAAACAATATAATAAAAATATATCCAGGGGCACTGATAAAAATAAAAGGTGATATAATAAAATTGATCCACTTTCCTATTTAAATCCACTGTGGCTAAGAACTAATGCTGAAACTCTATTTTAACTGCTTACATACCAGTTAAGCTTTCAAATATTTTTAATTGAATCAAGGTGCTGCTTGTGTTTA